CCCCCCCCTCCGAGACCCCTCCGCCAGCCACTCGCTGCGCTGGCCCCGCCCCCGGGCCCGCCGCAGCAGAACGGGGAGCGGGAGGCGCCGGCAGCGGAGGCCGGACGCAGCCGTCACGCCCCGTCCCGGGGACTATTTTCTCTCTCCGCGCAGGAACACACGGTATGGTCGCGTTACCCATGTGTAGCGCCTTCCCATTGGCCCGGAGGCGGCGGCGGGATGAGAGCGCGGCGCTGATTGGACGCTGCTCACCTGCAATGCGTAAAAATTGGACCGGGCCATGTTAGGGGGAGGGCGGGGGGACGGGGATGCAACCAAGCGCGGGAGGGGGATCACGGGACTGGCACAGCCAGACCAGGGTAGCTGGGGGGGAGGAGAGGGGCATGGACACCCCCTTTCCCGGAATGGAACGGCCCGGAGCAGCCCTCCCCAGCAGACAGATGGACCAACCCAGGGGAGTGGGCGGAGCCCTGGAGATCACGTGATACACTAGACCCTGCCCCTAATATGAAGCCACGCCCTTATTAACAGAGCAATGGGCCCTCCCATGTTGCCACGCCCCTGAATCTTTTGGCCACGCCCCTTATGGCTAGGGCCGCGAATCGATCAGCTTTGGCCACGCCTTCTCTTAGTACGTCCATATCATCATCGGCCACGCCCCCAGCTATCAGGGCCACGCCCCCACACTTATGGCCACGCCCCCACCCCTAATGCCACGCCCATATTATCATTGCCCAAATCTCCTATTCTCAGGGTCACGCCTCCATCGTGTCTGGCCACGCCCCTATGCTAATACCATGTGTGTATTATCATTGAACTGTTTTGTGGGCCCCACCCCCTGTGCTCAGGTCACAAGCCATGGCTTTGTCCACAGTCGCCCGGGTTCCTGGGTCTGCCCCCAGCACCAGGGTGGAGCGTCTACACCGGGGCGGGCAAACTTTTTGGCCTGAGGGCCACATCGGGTTTCCAAAATTGTATGGAGGGCCGGATAGGGGACGCTGTGCCTCCCCAAACAGCCTGGTGTGGCCCAGCCCCCACCCACTATCCGACCCCCCTGCTTCTCGCCCACTGACGGCCCCTCCGGGACTCCTTCCCCATCCAACCCCTCCATTCCCTGTCCCCTGACCACCCCCGGTCCCCCCGCCGCCCCATCCAACCCCTCCTCTCATTCCTGACTGCCCACCCCCGGGACCCCTGCCCCATCCAACCACCCCTTCTCCCTGTCCCCTGACTGCCCCCGGAACCCCTGCCCCTGACTGCCCCCCGCCACCCCATCAAACCCCCCTCTCCTTCCTGACGGCCCCCCTGTTCCCCGCCCCCTATCCACACCCCTGACCACCACCCCAAACTCCCCTGCCCTCTATCCAACCCCCCCGCTCCCTGCCCCCTTACCGTGCTGCCTGGAGCACTGGTGGCTGGTGGCGCGGGCACCAGGATAGGCAGCCGTGCCGCCCGGCTGGAGCCAGCCATGCCACTGTGCAGCACAGAGCACCAGGTCAGGCCACGGGTCTGCAGCTGCGCTGCCCGGACACCCAGAGCATTGCGCCCGCAGTAGGGAGACCAGACAGCAAGTGTGAAAAATCGGGACGGGGGTGGGGAGTAATAGGAGCCCATATACAAAAAAGCCCCAAATATCGGGACTCCCTCTGAAATATCTAAGGATCCACCCTGTCCCCCACCCTGACTCTCCCTCCTCAACATCCCCAGCGCCCCCAAACACCGCCACCTCCCCATGGCACCCTTCCACCCAGCAGCCAGCCGCTGACTGCAACCCAACACCCCACTTGTGCTCCCTCCACCCCCCCTTCCTGACAGCCCCCACTCCACCATCCCCGGCGCCACCAAACACCTCCAGCCACTGGTATCCCCCACCCTGCCCCCAAACCCCTTCCCAAACCCCTGCTTAGTCTCCCTGCTTCTCTGCATCCCCTTCTCGGCCACTAGGTGGCAGCCAAAGCCTGTGGGGCCTGCATTGACTTCCCAAACCTGCAGCCTAATATGGGGGTGCCAGGAAGGGGCTCCCCTGCCTCCCCCTCCACCTTTCCATCCGCAGGATATGTCTACCTCTCTCTCTCCCTCCCCCCCATCCACGGGATCTATCTACCCCTTTGCAGTACGTATCTCATCGGCTTTATTTGTCTACTCTCTATCGGTTTGTTCTTCCTTTCCTCGGCAGCCAATCTATCCATCCTTCCCTCCATATCGATCGGCCATCCTTCCTTCTCTCTGCTGTATCCATCCATCCTTCCTGCCCCAGTATAGGGTGACCAGATGTCCTGATTTTATAGGGACAGTCCCGATTTTGGGGTCTTTTTCTTACATAGGCTCCTATTACCCCCCACCCCGTCCCGATTTTTCACATGCTGTCTGGTCACCCTACCCCAGTATATCTATTTATCTATCCACCCATCCATCCCTCCCTCCCTCCCCAGTATCTCTCTCTCTCCATCCATCCTTCCTTTCCCCCGTATCTATCCATCCACCCACCCCCTGATCCCTCTACTATCTTTCTAACCCAGCTTTTCTCTCTCCAGCAGGCATTGGCACTTCCCCCCCCACCACCATACCGGCCCCATCAACATCCCGAAGGCCACAGCTAGCTCTGGGGGCTCGTCCCTCTCAGCAGCACCGGTGGTCACTTCCTTCCTCCCGTTCGCCTGGCGGGGCCGCGGCCTCTAAAACAAGCCCTGGGCAATAGCTCGGCCACCGCCTTGGCCAATGCGGGGGATCAAACCAGGGACTTGAGGTCCTGGCATCTGTTGAAATTGCCAACCCAGGGAAGGGGCCAGCTGTGCTGATGGTTTCTGGGATGTAGACACCTGGCCAGGTGGGATCGGGCTCAAAACCCCCCCCTTCCCCCCCCCCCCGGCTTATTAGCCATGGGGGGAACCAGACAGCAGTGACTTGTGACTGATCTCCGATTCCCCACCCGTTGCTTCCCTATGGATCCTGCCTCCGCTAGGACCCCTGGCACCTTCTCCCTCGTGCCGGCGCTGCAGGCAGGGCAGGTCTCATCCTGCTGGCAGCCAGGGATCCGGTCCAGGTGCCGGTGCTTCACTTGGCTGGACACCAGCCGCTCCTCCAGCTGCAGCTGGGTGGGGCCGGGGGCGTTAGAATAGGGAACGGCTGCCAAGGGCGGTGCCGCCTCCCTACGGCCTCGCGTCCATGAAACCCTGCAGGAGTTTCGCTGTGAATCAGCAGGAAACACGGCACCGCCAACCTGAATTCCCCAGGGTCTGGGATGTGGGCAAGGAGAGCACAGTATGTGTGTGGCTGCCGCTGCCCTCTGCTGGCTGCAATCAGTACTACCTAGCTGCGTGTCATAGCCCCCCATACTGCGGGTAGCTAGTGGAGATTCTCCATCAGCCCACGTAGTTTCAGAGGAGGAGGCCCGCAGTTCTCCCTTCCCCCTCTTACCACTAATGCTCCAGTGGGGTTTAAATGGGAAGGGCACGGAGAGGAGCAAGGCCCAGATTCCTCGCTAGCCCCAAGCGCATCCCTCTGACAAGCAGGGACACGACACGGGCTCCGCTCTCCTCCCGCTGCCTCCCTGCCTTTCCCCTGTGCCTCTGTTCCCCCCGTCCTCATCTCTGCTCCCTCCTCTCACCCTTTACCCTGGGGGTTCCCTGACTCTCCTGCTGTTCCATGAGGCAGTGCTTTCCTCAGCATCGCAGGCCATCTCTGCCCACGTTGGGCCTTGTGGTGCTTCATGTGCCATGGCTGCAGCTGGGTTAGAGCCCAGATCCCTCAGCTCGGAAAAACCTCTTGAGCCACCGGCGAATCCCCATTTGCAGTACAGGGGCTATGACACGCAGCTCAGCAGTTCTGATGCCAACCAGCAGAGGTCAGTGGGGTACCGTGCTGGAGCAAGCCATCAGCAAGACAGGCCCTTGGCTGAGGCTGCAGCTTGTGGTACAGTTGAATCTCAGCCTTCATTTAAAAAAAAATGTTTTCTAGCCACAAGAGTTGGGATGAAAAGCCAGGAGTCCTGACTCTCGGGGTCTAATCCTCTTCTCTCTCCTTTTCCATTGTGCTCAGCCATCTCTCAATCTTCCTCCCGTTTGACTGTCCCCCCCCCCCGCCTCAAGACAAAAAGTCTCACAGCCTTGGGGTGAGGCTTGGAAAATATTTATTCGTGGTTCACACTGTTCACCCTGAGCGAGCTCGTCTCACGACGGGGGGCGGGATAGAACCTGGTACAAAAAAGCAAAGAGGTCACAAAAACTCTACGAAGGAATCTGTACAGTATCATACAACATAGATACATTCAGCACATGCACACACCTACCGCCAGGGGGTGCTGCAGTACACACCCCCTCCCCTCAATGCTGGGGGGTGCGCCTTGACTCTGGCACAGAATAATTTATTTTTCCTAATCACAGGCCCGGTAGGAAGGCAAGGGAGGCCGTGTGTGTGTATGTCGGAGTGGGGCTGGGGAATCTCCAAGGGGTCCCCTAGATAAAGAGCTGATTGAAAATGGGGGGGGGGGGGGTTCCCATGGAAAATGTTGATTTCTGGCAGAAACTCCAAATACTGCAATAGCGTGATTTGGAAATGCTGCTGCGGTGCATCATGGGAGATGTAGTTCTGTTGCTACGTGCTCCTATTTACTTCTATGGCCTGGGCTCCCCAACTGGACTATATCTCCCATGATGCATCATGGCCACAGATTCCCCATGATGCAACCACCTGGCCAAGAGGAGAGGTCATGGTGCATCATGGGAGATGTAGTCCAAGTGCCATAAGCTCTCAATCTCTATTCTCCAGGCTCCCCAGCCAGACTCCATCTCCCATGACACACCATAGCCAGGGGCTCCTCAGATGCAACTGCCTCTCCATGAAGGGACTCTGTGGTGCATCATGGGAGATGTAGTTCCCATTGCCTCATACTCCCTCCTCTGTAGTCGTTGTACTACCTCGCCTATGATGCACTAGGGGAGTCCCTGGCCATGGTGTATCATGGGAAATATATTCCAATCGCAAAGCCCAGCCCATAGAGAAGAGAAGCATGAGGCAACTGAACTACGACTCCCATGAGGAACTGGGGTGCCACATCTAAATTGAAATATTTTGGTGTCTGGGTGTTTGATTTTTGTGGCATCTTCCCTGGGGAGCAGGTGCTTTTCAAGACAAATTTCCTTTGGTCGAAAACCCAATTTCCTCTAGAGAAAAATGATTTAGATGGAAATTTTCCCTCCAGCCCCAGCTACTCCTTCCCAGGTGGGTGGCTCGAAGACAGAGGGGCCTAGCGCGGGACCAACGCACTTCTCAGAACAGAAGCAGATGGGGCTGGGCTGGGTGATGGGCGGGGGTGGATGGTGGGGCTCGGAGCTCCTGGGTGTGGGCAGATCTGGTCTCCGTTCATGGAGCACAGACACCGGAGTGAGGGCTGAACAGGAGGGATGTGGAGACTGGTCCCGCTAGGAACAGGGCTGAGTCCTGCAAACTTGCTTCACGCTGACAAAGGGAATGAATTTCAGGGGGGAACGGAGCTGGCGCCTCTAGAGGGCAAAGGCCCCGTGTCCCATCCCCCAAGCCAGCCAGTTGCCCAAAATATACCAGTTGAGTTTCCCTTGTGCCCATTCCACTTCCGTCGTGCAGCTCGCTGGCCAACGCAGGGAATCCTCGCCAGCCAGCCTGTTACCTTGCACTGGCAGGGGTACAGCGCCCACCCCCGGCTGCAGATCGCTGGCAGGCCAGGCTCCTTCGAGGTGGTGACCCAGCTACCACGGGCATCCGGTTCCCCTCCCCGGGCAAGCTTCCACCTGTGTGATGAACTGGGGCAGCCTCAGCCGGCTGATCTGAATGACCCCCCCCTCCAGGGGGCGCCCCTCGGGGTTTGACCCACGCTGGCCTGGTGGGGCGAGGAGAGCGAATGTGCCCCCCTGGCACGGAGGGGCGGTTAAGGTGCTTTAGCAGAGCTGGGGGGAATCAGGGGGCATGAGGGTCCCCAGTGCAGGGCCGAGCCCCACCCCGGTCCCCTTATACCGCGGCATGGGGGGGGCAACGTGGGTCCAGCCCGCTCTCCCCCCACGCTGGATCAGAGCTTGGGCTCCAGGCCGGCCATCACGTTGAGTCTGTTGAACTTGGCTCTCTCCAGGTTGGAGATGTCCGTCTTGGGGAGGCCGCGGGGCGGGGGGAAGGGCAGCCCCCCCTTGTCCAGGGGCTGGCCGTGGTCCCCCCGGGTGGCATTGTGGATGAGGTGTGGGGCGTTGTTGGCCAGCAGCTCTTGCGGGGGCAGCGCCCGGCCTTTCCGGCGGGTCCACAGTGCCAGGGGGGCGCAGAGCAGGGCGGCCAGGAGAGGCAACAGCACCAGGGGCAGCAGGGCATAGAGCAGGGTCTGGCCGGCGGCCTCTGCGGGAGGAGAGAGCGGTGAGCAGGGAATGCCAGGCCCACAGTGCCAGCCGCCCCCCTGAAACCCCAGCCCCGGGCCTTTGCCCCACGCCCAGCCTTCCCCCCACCCTGAGATAGCTCCTCGATCCATCCCTCCCTGCCACGGCACCAGCCGGGTCCTGTCGTCCCCTCCCCCTGCCCTGGGATGTGCCCCTCCCATGCCCTGGCACCATTCCCCAAATTCCCTGCCCCCTCCCACATCCGAACCTCCCTGCCCCTCCCCCACCGGTCACGAACCAGAGCTGCCCCCTTCCTCCCCCCCCCGCCACTATCTCCATAGTAGCTGCCAATAAGGAGCAGGTGAAACCCCCACTTCCCACGCCCGGCCATACCTGCGCAGCCCCCCTCCGGGCAGGAGCACACGTAGCTGCCTGCCCCACCCAGGCATGAAGCCCCTCTGGGGCAGGGGTTCGGGGAGCAGAGATCCAGCCAGACCTAGGGACAGGGAGAGCAGAGCTAGCAAGGCCCAGCACGACCTGGCTGGCACCACGCTGCGGGGTGGGGGTGGGCAGGGAGATGGCCAGGCCAGGGGGCCTGTGGTCGGTGCAGCCCCAGTGGCCTGATCCAGTTCCCCCGCCCTCCCCCCCCAGGACTGGATTTGGCCCACTGAAGCCGTACAGCCTGCGTGGGACCAGATCACAGTCCCCGATTTGTAGAGGGGAGAAACAGAGGCACAAAGGCGGGTTTTTTGGGGGGTGGGAAGTGACTTGCAGAGGGTCATGTGGGGGAACCAGCGGCAGAGCAATAGAACCCAGGAGCCTGGCTCCCAGCCCCTCCCCCCGGCGCTAACCTCTAGCCCCCACTGCCCTCCCATCTCTGACATGGCTCCTGCCTCTCCTCACGGCACCCCCGCGGATCCCGGTGGCCCTCACCTCGCAGAAGGGCCCGCTGAGGCCAGGCGGGCAGCTACAGGCAACCCTCTGCCCTGGCGTCTCCTGGCAGCGGGCTCCATGCTGGCAGGGGGTGCTGGCGCAGCCGCCCAGCTCCGTCTCGCAGGCCGTGCCCGTGTAGCCAGTGGGGCAGGAGCACACGTGCCCGGTACCCACCGCCTGGGGGAGACAGTGGAGAGGGGGGAGGAGGAGCATTGGCATAGCAGAGACCAGCTCCCCATGGCGACGAGACCGCTCAGTGACATGGCAACGGAGCCTCCCAGGCCCCAAGGGGCAACCGGACAGTCACGGGCCACTACGGCAGGAGGGGGCTCGGGGCGGTGGCAACACCCCGACCTCAGGGGCTGGGGGGTGGCCAGTTCAGGGCAATGCACATTCACATTCCCACCCCCCAGCAGCAGGGGGATGGGGCATCATGAGTATCCATGGCCATCAGCCTTTGGGGTCCCCCCAAATCCATCCCCTCTCCCCCCAGCCTTTGGGATCCCCCTGTGTCCATCCCCTTCCCACGCCCAGCCTATGAGGTCCTTCATGTGTCTGTGCCCTCTCCCCCCAGCCTTTGGGTTCCCCCATGTGTCTATCCTCTCTCCACACCAGTCTCTGGGGTCCCCCCAAATCCATCACCTCTCCCCCAAGCCTTTGGGGTCCCCTGTGAGTCCATCCCCTCTCCCCACCAGCCTTTGGGGTCACCCCCATTATCTTTGCCCACCCCCCACCAGCCTTTGAGGGCCCCCCAGTATCCATGCCCCTCCCCCATCACTGTTTGGGAGCTCCCCGTGTCTGTCCCCTCCCCACGGTGGCTCTGCACATTCTCTGGGGACCCTCCGTTTCCCTGGCCCAGGCTGCAGTGGGGACGTCGCTGTTCTGCTCTTGGGGTGGGGAGGGGTGAGTCCTGTGGCCGGCGCATCCGAGGGGCGCACACCCACCTGGCACTGCCCCCCATTGCGGCACTGCCCCTGGCAGCCGTCGTCTCCTGCAGGTGGAGAGGAGCCGGGGGTCATGGAGAGACAAGGCAGCGCTGGGGGGAGGGCATCCTGGGGAGCAAGCCGAGCACCCCATCTGCCTTACAGCCCCAGCTCACCATGGCAGGGGTATTAGCTGCGAGCCATCATCATGGGGCCACGGGACCCACCCCCTTGGTCCCCAGGCATCTGGCAGGGCTCTCCCACTGCATCCCAACCGGGGGCAGGGGGTACGGACCAGCCGGCAGCTTTGGGCCCCTACCGGCTAGGGCAGGATTCAAACCAGCAACTCACATGCCCCATCCAAACCCGTGTGTGTGTGTGTGTGTGTGTTGCTCCCTAGTGGTGGGATCGATTAGCACCAGCCAGGGGCAACGGCTTGGGGGCTTGGGAACGAGGGTCCCGATTCTCGGTCACGCTCAGGCCCCCTCCCATAGCGGAAAGGAGGTGGGAGCAGCCCCCTGGGACCCCCTGAGGTGGAGAGGAGTGGGTGTAATGGCTCTGATCCTAGCCCCCTGGTGCAGGGGGGTGGCTGGGGCGCACGGTGCTGGGGCTATTCCCTGCCCCCCAGGGCCCATGGGGGCTGCTCCAAATAACCCTGGGGCCAGGCAGGACCCAGAATACGGGGAGAGCAAAGAGGGAGTAAAGCCCTCTGCACTTTCACCCCCAGCGGGGGGGGGGGGGGCTGGGAATCAGGCCCCTCCAAGGCAGCACTTAAGCCCCTCAAAGGCCTGTCCCTGTACGGACTGTGAGCTTGGATAGCCGGGGTCCGCTTCCTCCTGGTCCAACTCCACCACCCTCCCAGCCACGGCCCTGCCCTGCCCCCTCCCAGCCATGGCCCGGTCCTGCCCCCTCCTGGCCACAGCCCAGCTCTGCCCTCTCTTGGCCACGGCCAAGTCCCAGCCACCCTCTCCTGGCCACACCTAGGCTGTGCCCCTTCTCGCCCCCCGGCTCGGCCCCTGCCCCCCGCCCCCCCCCACAGCCAGGGCCCACTGGTCGCTCTCTTACTGGTCTCGCAGTTGGGGCCAGTCCAGCCCTCCAGGCAGTCACAGAAGTAGCCCCCGATGAGGTTTTTGCAGCCCCGGGCGTGCACGCAGGGCTCCCGCTCACACTCGTTGGCATCTGTGGTCGGGGGGCTGGGGTCAGGGCAAAGAGCGGTCGACGGGGGGCTGCTGGCCCCTCGTGGGATCGGCGTGGGAAGGCGGGATCAGTGGGAAGGGCCAGACGTGTCTCTCCCCCCCCCGCCCCGCGCCTGTCCAGCCCTTGGCTCGGGGATTGGGGATCGTGGGCCCTTGTCCTGCTGGGAACCCCCGACTCAGTGGGCATTGGCTTTCAGCCCCCCAGGGCCCGGCGCCCGGCTCAGACTGGCCACCATGAAGTGAGCAGCCCCGTGTGCCAGCCACGCAGCTCGTCTCCCGCCACAGGGCTGCTGCGGCTTCCCCTAACCCCCACCCCCCTCCTCTATGGCCCTGGGCAGGGTCGGAGCTGCCAGTGGTCGTGGGTCCTTGGATCTGCATGGCTGGGGGCAGGGGGGTGGGCACATCCAGCCCTGGGTCCTGTTTCTGGGGAGAGTTCACTGTGCCCTGCTGCAGATTCACAGGAAAGGGGGGGGGCAGTACCCACAGCACAAGGGTATGGGGGGCAGAGGGGAGGTGACTGGGGGTGGAGGGCTGTGTCAGCATGTGGGGGCAGGAGGGGGTGCAATGGAGCAGGGGGCAGTTTCAGGGTGTGGGGGGCAGGAGGGGGTGCCATGGGGCAGTGTCAGGGTATGGGGGGCAGGAGGGAGATGCCATGGGACAGTGTCAGGGCGTGGGGAGCAGGAGGAGGTGCCAGGGGGCAGTGTCAGGGCATGGGGAGCAGGAGGGGGTGCCATGGGGCAAGGGGCTGTGTCAGGATGTGGGGAGCAGGAGGGAGGTGCCATGAGGCAGTGTCAGGGTGTGGGGGGCAGGAGGGGGTGCCATGGGGCAGGGGCAGGGCATGGGGGGCAGGAGTGGGGTGCCATGGGGCTATGTCAGGGTGTG